ATAAATTATATTGATATATGTCAGATTTGAAACATTTCTAAATGAGTAATTCTGTTTTATATGTAATGAGTAATCCTATTTAGTTAAAATTATCTAATAATTGTAAATTATAATTGTAATTTTATTTTTATGTATTACATATAAAACAGAATTACCCAAATTATATAATAATTACAATTTTAATAAATTTTACATGATTGCAAATTTTTCATTTTCAGAAGAAAATAATTTTAAGATAATATTCTGATAATCACCACTGATTCAACTTTGATTAATCCTTAAGTTTATCACTATATTCTATAGACATTTGGAATAATTAACAATTTTTTTTTAAATTTACGTGATTTTTAACAAAAACAATCCAATTTTATAATTCTAATTTATTCATAAATAAACCACTAATTATGGACATTTATAAAAATTTTGCATTTCAAGACGACGAAAATCAAAAAAAAGGTTAAACAAAACATTATCAATCATCATTTTCCAAAAAGTATGAATCACTTTAAGTATCAAAATTTTTTCTTTTAATTTTTTTGTATATGCAGGTTTTTTTAATAGTAAAATTTTGTCTTGATTATAAATAATATCATAACAATCAAAGATCCAACCCAAGCGATGTTAAACTCATTCAAGTAAACATAAAGGATCCAACGAAACTAAAAATAAAACAAAAACAATGATATCGAAGTAATGATCCAAGAATAAAGACTAATGTTAATGATTTAAAATGAAAATTACATCAGAGACATAAAAAAAATCGAAAATGAAACTCACAAAAAAATATTTGGTCGGGGATTTTTAAACTAATATTTAGATGAAATAAAAAAAATTATTCACATTAACTATATTAGTTAATTGATCACCAAATTCTTTTTTTACATTATTCTGATTATCTACTTATTTTCACCTTATAATTATTGTTTTCGTTGCTAGTTAGTTAATATGGACGAAGATTCAGTAGAGGTTGTTGATATCGGCTTGGCTGATCTTTCTTGGGCGGAATTTATAAAGTCTCGTGCTTTATACAGTTTAACAAATTCCAGCACAACATTTCGCCTTGAGTTTTTGAACCATTCTTTATTACCTCGAATTAAGGCTGAAAGTTAGTTAATAAAGACAACAAATTTATTATAAGACAGTGTTAAAACGAAATTTCGTTAACTTGCTTTTCTTTTTTTTTTTTTTTATATAATAGAACTATCAGATAAAACACTTGGAAGCCTACTTTACCTAATTTTCCTTACTTATTCGAGATATAATGATAGACCTTCGCGTTTTGCAATGATTAATGTTTTAAAAGAGCTTAATAATTGGAACTCGGACCAATTCTTAAGGTCTTTTGTTCCATTGGTCATAAAGGAAACTGATAGACTGAATCAAAAGAGTCCCGATGGGTATGATGAGTATCTTTTTTTTTTATTTTTTATCACAAAGAATAATTTTATTTTTATTTAATATATGTTCAAATCACATCCAGTACCACTTATACGACACCCTCTTCTAATCGATTTGTTCTTCTCACGTGGGTCAATTTATTGATCTCGTTTGCTATATCAAAAAAATCTCCGGAAGATTCTCCTTATTGGAAGAACTTAGTAGACGCTCAGGCAATCTTGCTGCATTCATTAATCAGCGAAAATGAGAAAAGAAAAAATATAAAACGTAGTGCATTGTTCGACGTTAGGCGATCCATTCGCAAGGTACATGATAATTTTGTAATTACAATCTTCAGATCTTGATTATTAAACGCTATTAACTTGACCAATAAAATTTTAATTTATTTCAAAGAGTCCATTTGATATTCCCTCATACATTTCTTATTTAATTTCTAATGCGAAAGCATGTAACCCTATTTATAAGAATGCTGTTTTACTAGGAACCGTTATTGATTGCTCTTTGAAACTCAGAAAGAGCGTCGGTAAATCTTACGTCGAGAATGCAAAGGTTCGTGTAGTTCCTACACTTTAGAACTTAATATATTATAGCCTTGTAAATTAAATTATTATTGCCTTAAACTTACAAATTTAATTTCCTCTTTAGGACGACATAATACAATATTATATCACGGCTATTGCTTCTTCGAAGACCCCAGTACCAAAGATTTCCGCGGTAATTTGGATTTAGATTTTATATTCGAGCTGAATTGAATAAATTCTGAATATGTTGGTTATTGAAATAGGATGCATTACATGACTTCATGAACGTTGTAGTCACTGAAGAGGATTTTCGGACTAAACTAACACCGATTTTAGAGAAACAGCTTCTGAGGGCGCCAGAAATCGTATTGAATGGTATTTTAATGTTTTGTTCTAATTTCCTCCATTAACAAGTCAAATTCTAATTCATTTATTATATGTTATTTAGTATTAATAAGTCTATTTAAATCGGTTTCTTTTGATGTATCAAATATTTTTAAGAACAACTTTCTGCAATCCTTGCTTGGTCATGTTCGATCGACTAATAAGGTAATACAAATGGATGCCGCGGAATTGTTAAATATTTTATTTGAAAAAAGTTTGAATGAGGATGTGGTTATAGAGATTGTTAATTATATCATACAAACACTAACAGGAGGTCAGCATCTTTTTATTAAGATTCGCATATTAATTTATGTACTTGAATGAATTAACTTATCTCCGCGTTTAAATATATAAAATTTTCTTTTGTGGGATAGGAAAGATGTCTAACCCAGAGCATCGTATTATCTTATTACAAACTCTCGCTCATGTTCACCAATCACCTATTGTTGTCAAAACCGTAATTAATGGACTTTTTCCTATCGTTTCAAAAGAGAGTAATGAAACTTCTTTAGCTATAGCTAAAGCGATCGACACTTTGGGATTACATGTTGGATTATTACTAAGATCTGCGCAAGATATTTCATTTGTAGAAAAGATCATTAAGGTTATCGTAGATGGATTGTTTAGTACAAAGGCTGGCGTGAGGAAAGCTTGGGCGATTATAATTGGTCGAATGGTTTGGGAAGAAACCAATTCCCCTTCCACTTCATTGAAAAATGCTACGCAAAAGTTTCTCAACCCACTTATATCAACATTGGAAAAGATCCAATCAAACCCTCTCGTTTTCACAGGAGGTCCAATTGAGGGATATATTACTATTGCAATTGCAATTGGCAGATGCAAAAATTGGGATGACGATATATTAAGTAACGTGTTGTTCTGCTAAATTAGTACTATTGCTGCTGCATTTGAATATTATTTAATTAAGAGTTTACCCAAATATTTTAGATGATTTAATCGGCGCAAAAAAACTTATGCAAAATGTTTTAGTAACTGCACTTAAGCCTTCTTTTTTATTTTGGGATAAAGTCTACTCCAAATTGAGTACTTATGAAGAAGGATTTTGGTTTATTCGTGCTCTTGAAGGAGTTTTGCTTGATAAAAATGAAGCTTTGTTACAAAATAACGATGCACAGTAAGAATTATGATTTAAAATTAATATTTGCAATGTAGCTTTTAATTAAATTTAATATTTAACATACTATTTTAGGGTGTTTTTATCTACGGCGTTTATTTATATGATAACGGCGTTTTCTAATCATCAAATACGTCATGAAACGTATGATACTCTGAAAAGGTGTATTCAAGGTAACATTGAACCCGTAGGAGAAATTTTCCGTAAAGGATTGACACAATGGGTTTTAAATGTAGGTCTTAATTTCTTATATTAATAGATACATTTTTTTAATTATTATAAATCTTTCCGTAAAGGATGTAAAATGTAAATAATACTTTTTATATTTATATTACTGTCTAAATTCGTGATTGAAGCTTGAGAAAAACGTTAAAGATTCTACAGCGATATTGGCGTCTGGATTTGCTCATTCTGACCCTATTGTAAATGCGTACCGACTTTCACAAGTGCTCACGGCTATTACTACTTTTTCTAAAGAGGAGAATAAACATGAAGTTGAATCCTCACTTGTCGAATTGATTGTTCTGGCTCACCATCCATTGATTGGTTGGTATTATTTTACAGATTAACATAAATTTTTGTTTTCATCTCGAATTTATATTTATATTTAATAATTTAAATATATTTTTAATCTACAAATATTAGTATCACCTAATAATAAATATAATTGGATCTCGTTAGTTCAAAGAGCTCAACTTGATCCTGGAAAGTTAGTCGAAAATTATTCAGGTCGCCTCCGACAAATAATTCAAGATAAAATTGAGATTGGTTATGAAGTAAGTGATAATTTGATATCATTCATAACTATTGACAAATGAGAACAAATTTTAATATAATTTAGTACCGTTACTTATTACTAGTCGAAATATTTCTATAAAGCTGCAATATCGGCGATTGCCACTATTACTTTTATTTCTCCAGAAACAATAATACCCTTATTTTTGACACAATGTCACAGAAATTTGGATGCCTCATTATTTGAGAATATAGGTAAAAAGGAGATTGAGATTTGGAAAACTGAAGAAGGAACTTTATTCATTGATGGTATTTCAACTTTAATTAGATTATTTCCAATAATATCATATATATAATGTATTTCATATTCAATTCCATTCATTTATTGGTTAATATATGTAGTTCTCAAACGTAGTAAGAAGGTTATTGTAGAGAATCGTAATCGAAAAGATTATAAAACGGAAAAGTGGGAACGTGAATTACGCGAATCGATTGCCAAAAAGAAGGGAACCACTAAACTTACAAAGGAGGAACAAGCCGCAGTAGACGCACAATTAGCAAAAGAATCCGAAATACGTAAAAATGTGGAACAAGTTCGTTTAACGTTAATAAGAGGTCTAGATATCGTGGATGCATTAGTCGAAAGCAATTCTGAAGCTATAGAACAACATATTGTGGAATTTATGAGACTTTTGAATATTATCGTGCAAAAAAGTGGTCCTTTAGTTGGTGATAAAGCTGTCAACACGTATTTGCGAATTAATAAGTGTACATCAGAAAAAATTGAAAGTATTCGTGATTTCATCGGTTTAGCGACTCTTCGTGCTATGGATGTTCAAGAAGTTCCTGAGAGATGGTTACAAGAACCGTTAGGTCACCTTGTTACGCGTGTTCTTTATCGTCTGAGGTTTATAAGTGATCGTTCGTTATTACCCCCTTCATCGTTCGCATATTGCTTTCCACTTATTCATCAAGTCATTAATAAAGGTGGCATTGGGTACGAAAGCAAAGAAGAAAGGGATGTTGAATTATTAATGGAGCAAATTGCGCTTGGGTTAGATGTTTTATCTTTCCATTCAGCAATAGGTTCTTCACCTTTATTGCCTCGAACAGAAATGATTCAAGTTCTTTTACAAATTATTAAAGAACATCCTAAATTGAATAAAATAGCAAGAACAGCTTTAGTAAATTTATGTGAAGCCATTGGGGAAACTGCGGAAAGAAAGGAAATAGAAACAATACTTAATGGACTATTATCTTCAGAGTCATTTGTTCGTTATGCCTGTTTACAAGCATTGAATTATTTGGATCTGACTGAAATTGATTTTTCTTGCGAATTATGGGTTTCGTGTTTTGATGAGGATGAAAATAATTCAAAGTTGGCCTTAATTTTATGGGAAGACAATGGAATGGATGTTGACCCAAATTATGCATTGGAGCTATTACCTTTATTGATTCAGGATGAAAAATATGTTCAAGTAACCGCTTCTAAAGCAATAGGTAAAGCTGCGGCATATTTTCCAAATTCAATTACAGAAACATTAAATTTAATTTACAATCTTTACAAAGAAAAGGTAATGACTTAATATTTTATTTTGAAATGCAAACGATATAATTTATAATCTTCACTGATTATTTTATTATTATTATTAATCAGGCCATTCCAATAAAGCCAGAATATGATGAATTTGCTATGGTTAGACCAGAATCTTTGAATAAGAAAGATCCTTGGGAAGCTCGTGTTGGAGTGGCGCTTGTTCTTGGCGCTCTCGCACCAAATATGAAACCATCAGACTTAATTCAGTTATTTGAATTCCTCATCAATTGTGAGGCTGTTGGTGATATTAATGCACAAGTTCGACAAAGGATGTTAGAGGTAAGAAAGGATAAATATGTTTATTCGATTATTTTTCTCTTAACCAACTCATTTTAATTGAAAACAGGCTGGACTAGCCGTTATTGATGCACATGGAGCTAAAAATGTTACGTTGTTAATGCCAGTTTTAGAAAATTATTTAGACAAACCTGATTCTCCTTCTGAAACACATGATCGCATACGCGAATCTGTTGTTATTTGGTTTGGAGCTTTAGCTCGACATTTAAATCCTACCGATACTAGGATTCCAGTTGTAATATCTAAACTTCTTGAGACATTAAAAACTCCTTCTGAAGCTGTTCAAACTGCAGTCGGCGAATGTTTACCACCACTTATTAAATCAATGAAAGAAAATGCACCCAACTTAATCAAGGGACTGCTGGATCAGTTATTCCATTCTGAAAAATATGCCGAACGAAGAGGTGCTGCGTTTGGTTTAGCTGGCGTTGTTAAAGGCACGGGCATTTCGGCTTTAAAAGATTGTAATGTTATGACATCATTAAAAGAGGGTGTTGATAACAAAAAAGACTATAAAAGTCGACAGGGTGCACTTTTTGCTTTCGAAACATTATCACAAGCTTTGGGACGCCTTTTTGAGCCTTATATTATTCAGATACTTCCATTGCTTTTAGTTTGTTTTGGGGACTCACATCCTGAAGTTCGAGAAGCAACTTCGGATGCTTCACGAGTAATAATGAGCAAGATTAGTGGACATTGTGTCAAACTTATTCTTCCTTCATTATTAGCAGGACTTGATGATCGGCAATGGCGAACAAAGAAGGGTTCGGTTGAATTATTGGGTGCGATGGCTTTCTGTGCTCCCAAACAACTTTCTATTTCTCTTCCTACAATTGTTCCGCGGCTGACGAATGTACTTACAGATTCACATACAAGTGTCCAGTCTGCTGCTAATGAAGCATTGTTACATTTCGGGGAAGTTATTAATAACCCTGAAATTCAAGCCTTGGTACCAATCTTACTTAAAGGTCTTAGTGACCCCGATAAGCATACTAATGCCGCATTAAATTCGTTGTTAGAAACTGCTTTTGTACATTATATTGATGCGCCATCACTAGCATTGGTATATTTATTTATTTTTCTATTTTATGATTTTTATTATTTTAAATTTATTAATAAAAGTTATCCTATTTTTTCAAGGTGATGCCAATACTTGAGCGTGGATTAAGGGAGCGAGGAACAGAGATCAAAAAAAAGTCTTCGCAAATAGTTGGTAATATGGCATCTCTTACGGATGTAAGAGACCTTGTCCCGTATTTACCTAGACTATTGCCTGGACTCAAAGAAGTACTAGTTGATCCTGTACCAGATGCTCGTGCTACTGCCGCAAAAGCACTCGGTACTATGGTTGAAAAACTTGGTGAAGACAAATTTCCTAACCTTGTCAATGAACTTGTACACACTCTTAAGTCCGATACAAGTGGTGTCGATCGACAGGGTGCTGCTCAAGGTCTTAGTGAAGTATTGGCAGGATTAGGACTTGAAAGACTTGATGGACTTTTACCAGAAATCGTTAATAATACAAATAGTTCAAAATCTTACGTTCGAGAAGGATTCATTTCGTTGCTTATATATCTTCCCGCTACATTTGGTCTTCGATTTCAGCCTTACCTTGGTCGAATTATTCCACCAATTTTGTCTGGTCTTGCGGATGAATCTGAATACGTACGTGATGCTTCACTTCGAGCAGGTCAAATGATTGTGGCAAATTATGCAACGAAAGCTGTGGATCTTTTACTTCCTGAATTGGAGATAGGATTATTTGATGATAATTGGAGAATTAGGCAAAGTTCTGTCCAACTTATGGGAGATCTACTGTACAGAATTACAGGCATCAGTGGTAAAACTGAGGTTGATGATGATGATGATGAGACGGGTGGTACGGAAGCCAGTAGAAAGGCCTTACTTCAAGTTCTTGGGAAGGAAAGACGTGATCGTGTTTTGGCTGCTCTTTATATTGTAAGACAAGATGGTATGTTATCTTTTTTTGATTTATAATTGCTGATATTTACTATAATATTTCTAATTTAATTCTATAATATAAATTTTCTCACATTAAAATCCTTTATATTTTCAAAAGTTTCCGGTATTGTTCGTCAGGCATCAATTCATGTATGGAAAGTTATTGTATCAAACACTCCTCGTACCGTTAAAGACATACTTCCAATTATGATGGGGATGATTATTCGTAGTCTTGCAAGCCCTAGTTATGAACGACGTCAAGTAGCTGGTCGAACACTTGGAGAACTTGTTCGCAAATTAGGTGAAAGTGTTTTGTCTGAAATCGTACCAATTCTTAAAGAGGGCCTAGAATCTCAAGAATCAGACATGAGACAGGGTGTTTGTATTGGTTTAAGCGAAGTAATGAGTACGGCAGGGAAAGTTCAAGTCATTGATTATGTTGACTCAATTATTCCTGCTGTTAGAAAAGCTTTGGTTGATGAATCAAGTGATGTACGTGAGGCGGCTGCTCAAGGTAATTGTAATAAACGGTTTATATTTGATCTGTTGATATTCATTCCTTGTTTTTTTTTTTAAAAAAAAAAATTATTTATATATTAACTCTTATTTGTTTTATAAAAGCCTTTGATACTCTTCAGCAACATGTAGGAGATAAGGCAATTGACGAAATCCTTCCAACACTTCTTAATTCTTTACAATCTGGAGATGATTCTGTATACGCTCTAGAGGCTTTGAAAGAGATCATGGCTGTACGTGCTAACTTAGTTTTTCCAGTTCTTATACCTACTCTTATACAAACACCAATTACTACGTTTAATGCTCGAGCTCTTGCGTCATTGGTAACGGTAGCCGGTCCTGCTCTTAACAAACGTTTAACACAAATATTAAGCGCACTTATTGTATCTTTGGGTACGGAAACTGATGAAAATGCCATATTAGAGTTGCAAGAAACAGAAAAAGCATTGATACTTTCTATCGATAATGCCGAAGGTCTTCAGACTTTAATGACAATGCTTTTTGAGGCAGTAAAAAGTGATGACCCTTCCCACCGAGCTGGCGCTTGTGATATTGTTACAATCTTTTGTAATGAAAGTAAAGTTGACTATTCGAGATATGTAACTGAATGGATACGTGTACTAGTTTTACTTCTGGATGATCGACAGAAAAATGTAGTAAAGGCAGCATGGAACGCTTTAGCAGCTGTTATCAAACCTTTAAAGAAAGATGAATTAGAGCAAATAGTTATACCTGTTCGTCGCGCGGTTAAAAGTGTTGGTGTACCTGATGTGGACCTACCAGGCTTTTGTTTACCAAAGGGTATTAGTCCTATTCTTCCGATATTTTTACAAGGTTTAATGTATGGTACTGCCGAAATTCGCGAACAATCCGCTTTGGGTATTGGAGACCTTATCCAGAGAACTTCGGCTGAAGCACTTCGGTCATTTGTTACACAAATCACCGGCCCTCTTATTCGTATAATCGGTGACCGTTATCCTCCCCAAGTGAAAGCCGCTATACTTCACACATTAGGCCTTTTACTTAATAAAGTTCCTGCTCATCTTAAACCATTCATTCCTCAATTACAACGTACTTTTATTAAATCTCTTTCGGACCCTTCAAGTGCTCTTGTCCGTTCAAGAGCGGCATTAGCGCTCGGTATTCTAATTTCACTGCAAACTAGGGTCGACCCCCTAATTACTGAGTTGATTACTGGGATAAAAACTAGTGAACCTAATGTTAAGGAGACAATGTTAAGTGCTTTAGAAAGTGTAATAAATAAAGCTGGAGCCGGAATGAATGATTCTTCAAAGAAAAATGTAATTGGAGTTATAGTTGATGGTTTGAGTGATAATTCGGGTATATACAAATTATATATGTTTATAAAGAATTTTTTTTAGAAAAAATATAATTTAAAAATATATGATTGTTTATTTTAGATAAAATGGTAATTGGTGCATCTCGTTTATTTGGAAGTTTATGCAAGCATATTACCCCTCAAGAGGCTATACCTATCATCTCGTAAGTGATGGGAATTAATACGTTGTTATTAACATAACATTTTTCCTTAAGATTATAAAGTGACGCTTGGTTATTATATATTTAGATCTCATGTCTTAGGTTCTCCATCACAAAGTTCTTTAATGGCGATTAATGCAATCCTTGCTGAATCTTCAAGAATGTTCTTTGACATGGGAAATACACGCGAAATTGTGGAAATTATCTCGAAAGGTTCAGCTAGTAATTTGGTAAATAAATCGTTCGTTATTTTTATTTTCCCTAATCTATTGGCTATCTTTAAGACTTTAATACTTAAATATTATTATAGCCTCATATTGCTGATACAGCAATAATGGCGGCTGGTAAGATGTTGCTTATTGATATATATCACGAAGAATCTACTTTTCTTATCGAAGCATTAGCAACCAATGTTCGTGAACCTGCTACTCTGTTAGGGGAGACAAAACGTTTGTCGTTATCTGTTTTCCGAACAGTTGGAAAAAAGTACCCGCAGGTATTCATTCATACTGTTAATACCTATAAATTATAGCAAAGTTTCAATGTTACTAGAATTAAATACATTTATATTATTAGATTCTTGAGCCTCATCTTTCAATAATCATACCACCTATGATGGCATGTGCTCGTGATCGAGTTGTTCCAGTAAAACTGGCAGCAGAACTTGCATTAGTATATGTATTACAACTCTTAGAAAGCGAGGCTATTCTGCAGGTTTGTTTATTACGTTATATTCATTCGAATTGTAATGTTCTTTACAACAAAGCGAGTTTTATATTAAAATTTTAATGTATAACCTGCATTATAATAGCAATATTTATCAACAGTTGATGAAACAACGGCAAAATCTATTACGGACTTCCATAAACGCGTTCTAACAAAAATAGTGATACAAGAACAACAAAAAATTCCAGTCGGAATAACAGGTGATATGGATGAGGAAGAACAAGAAATATGGGCAGTCGGTAACATTGGTACCTTTGCTTCAAATGTAATTCAAGAGTAGTAAGTTAAAAGTTATTTTACAATATAAAATAATTTATTAAAATTAAATATAGGGAAAAAAATATATGATATTTAAAAAATTATAATTCTAAAAAGTAATAAATTTATCATTATTTTTAATAGATAATTTTTATTTGTATATTGGAATATAAACATTATATATAACATTCTTTCTTATTCAATTTTTTTTATAAGAATGTTTTATAAATCTATGTTTTTTCTCTTATTGGCAATTGAATCATCCCGTTAAGTGCAATGCAAAAATATAATTCTTTATTGCTAATGTTAGAATTTAAGATCACGTGAAAAATGAAAAAAAATGATTGCAAAATTATAAAAATGCAAATGCATATCCATTAAATATTTTATAATACAAAAGATTGCTAGGAAATCAGGCTCTAGAAATTTTTAATGAAATTTGGATTTTTATTACATCTTAATTTTTGGAATACAATGCAGAATCTCTAATAGGAATTTTGCTATAATAAAAATGAAACAAATTTAAAATGCAAAAAAAAATTTTATTATATAAAATTGAAAATTTAATTCATAAAATAAATAAACCATAATCTGTGCTTTAAGAATCTTGGATTAGAATTTTAATATCTTTAATATTGATAAAGTTATATTAGGTTAAATTTATTCAAAATTAATTATAAAAACTGAAATTGAAAAAAATATGTAATGATAAATTTATAAGAACAATTCTTTTATTATTCATATATTTTAATTTAAATATTATTGTAAATTGAATTATATAAAGATATAGCAAAAGAAATACACAGAATATTACAATTATACATAGATTTATTATAATAAATTGTTTCTAAAGCATTAGATTCAGTTTCTTTAATTACAATTCAAAAAGATTCACAAAAATCATAGTGACATAAATATTTATAGAAAAAGTATTACTAAAAAAATAGCAGAGTTTGTAGCTAAAAAAATATAAGTTTATTTTCATACATCTGATGTAATTATAATTAAAATAAAATAAATTATTTCATATGATTTTTAATACTAGTTTCTGATTGGCTCATATATATATTACATAATACTTACATAATTTACAAAATTGAAAAAAAAAACCTTTTTTTTATAAATCGATTCATTTTTACAAATATAAATCAATTATTTTTATTTGATTAAAATCCAATTAGTAGATAAATTTTATTAATGTTTTTTAAGTTCCTATTATAAAGGTTTCATACTATATTAGATTAAAATAAAATAAGTTCTTAATTTTAGTTAAAAAAATTCTCAGAACCTGATTTTCTTAGTAATCTTCTTATATTATTATTTATAATAACTAGTAAAATAATATTTTAAGAGATTTCGTCTCTCTAACGCAAGAAAATAATTTTTTGTTATAATAAAATATAAAATTCATTTATGATAAACTAAAATCTTGTAATTTTGTTTTTGTTTATTGATTATTTTTTGTGATATTTTATTATTTAATTAGCTTAATTTTGTAATAATTTATGAATATTTTTATTAAATTATATAACAAAAATGTTTATTATATATTATATATAGTTAATCATTAGTAAAAAAAAATATAAAAAAAATTAAACAAAAAACTAGTTAATATTCAAATTAAAATACATCATATTTAAAGCTTTTAATGAATCCAATAATAAATTTTGACAATTCTTTTCTAATATTAAATGATAAATAGAAAAACTTCTTTCAATTGTATAACTAGAAATTGGTAACCAAATATAATCTAATATAATATTAATAATATTAAATAATATTAGTAAAAGATTTGTTAAAAACCTTTAATTCTGATATCATTTATGACCTATAATTAATCATAGTAAATAGACTATTCACAAAGTAACTCATGAGAAGAATTGTTAAAATTGTTAATTATTAAATAATTTCTAATATTCTTTCTTCTTACATCTGAAAAATTAAAATAAATAGGATCAAAAATTTGACATATTTGAAATAATTCTCATGTAGGATAATTTGGAATATATAAAGAAAATTTTTTAAAAGTAGTATCAAATGTAGCCTAAAAGATTGAATAGAAGTCAAGTAAGTTAAAATAAAAATTCAAAATAATATTTTTAATTAAAGGATCAAAACTTGATTAGATTATAGGTAAAAATCAAGATGTTAAAGTCATGGTTTAATAAAGAAAAAAATAAATAAAATTTTTTATTGAAAAAATCAAAAGTATGAACAAATTCTTTTGAAAAAATTGAAATAAAGTAAAAATAGATAGTAATTATACACCTTTATTGATTATCTTATAAAATAGCATGAATTTTTACTATTCTTTCATTTTTAGTATTGACTTGCAATTCAGCTTCAAAGAAACTAGGCCAATATTTAATATAATCTTTAGCATAAAAAATTATTCAAAACTAAGAATTCTATTGCATTGTATTAAGTAATAGAATTTTATATAATATTGTAATTCTATATTCTTTTAAATGAATTGTATATTGACATCTTCATATAGGAGTATTAATAAAAATATTTGTTATAACTTGCAGAATATTTTTTAAGATATAAAATAAAGTAAATCTTTTCAAGTTTCATTGAAAAAAAATTTTTTTAAATAATATTTAAAGATTAAATAAAATTATAAAGATTATTATGTACTATGTATTTAATTAAATTTAAAATATATATATAATATGATACATGTGTAAGTTGAGACATAACTGGCTTTAGAACATTCTGATAACACTTTTTTATATAAACTTCAAAGTCAGAAAAAAATAAGATAATTTGTTAAATAGAATATTATAATTTGTTAAAATATAAAATAAAATTTGGTCTATTATTATATTATTAATACTATTTAAAAAATCAACTGAAATAAGTTTTGTAAAATTATGATAAATAAAATAATATTAACAACACTATATATGTAACTATCTAGATTTTTATCCCTAATAATAGAAATATATTTTGAATCAAATAAAAGTTTTAATGAAATAATATTTTCAAAAAACTGAAAAAAAATAAATTTGTTATGAAGTAGATGCTTTTGAAATTACACTTTCTTCTTTTAAATTTTTTTTAAAAAAGAAAATAATTGATTAATTTTTTGAAGTGATATATCGGTATCAAAGAAAGTTTTAACTAAATCTTTAATAACTGCTTTTCTAGATTCAATAGTACATAAAAAAAGTTTGTAAAGTTTATTGTTAAATAGATTTTTATTTATTTTCATAAGTTTTTATTTGCTTGATGTTTATTATCATTATATGAATAAATATAAAAATAATTCTTACATTATTTCTAGATATTTTTTAATTCAGAATTCAATATTTACTATTAAGTTTTTTATTAAACTTAAAACTATATTATATGAAAAAAAAGAAAATTTTGATGAAAAAAGTAAAAGAAAAGGCATAATAAACTATAAAAGTGAATGCAATTGATTTAATAGGAATTTTCATAATAAAAAATATGAAATTTATATATTTTTAATATTTATAACTTTTAAAATTAGAAATTTTGCAATATATTATTTCTTTAAGCATTTTGCAGGCAAATTTGCCTGCAATTTTATTTAATAATTAAAATTATTTATAATATTTTTAAATATTTTTAAAATAATTTATTTAAAAATCTGATGTTTTCTAAGTAAAAATTCAAAAAAAAATGTAATTAATTAGTGATTTTTTAAAGATAAATAAATATATGATAAATTATTATGAAAAAAAATTAAAATTTTAAACTTATATATCTTGTTATCTATTAATCTCAGAAATATGAAAATATAATCATTTAAGAGGTTTTAATTAGATAAATCCAACAAACTAAATTTTAATTTCTTGAAATTATTAGATAATAAGTTAAAATTAATATTTATTAATAATTAATAATTTTAAAAATTAAAAATATTATTATTAGGTAGATTTTAATATAACAAATTCAATAAACTTTATTTCATCTTTTTATAATCACTAGATATTAAAATATAATAATTTTTCTACAATGTTTTATAACTAATTTATACCTATATTTTAAGGAATATGAAAATCTATTTTTTTTAATTTTGTAAAATATTATTATGTAATTATATAAATTTTATTAATATTATAAAATTATGTAATATTTGTATAATATTATAATTAAAAGAAATTATCAGCTCTAGTTTAAATTTTTCTGTAACAGTTTTTACAACTTTATTATTAGCTATTCATAAATATTATTTTTTACAAAGGTTGTCTTTAAATAATTTGTTAATATATAGCTATATCTAGAGACTGATAAATAGTTGTTAAACTATCTAAAATAATCATTAGATTAATATCTTTTCATAAAATTTGATTTTAACAGACTAAGCATCAGAATAATTAAAAAAAAAAAGAATAAAGAGAAAATAATATACTTTATTGACAAGATAATTCCTTTTTTTCTAAATAGTCTTTAAAAGGATTATATATCATAATTGTTAGATCTTAAGATTTATTATTTCTTATATTATTAAGTAATTAATATACCTTTTCATCAAATTTGAATCTATCTAACAATCTTTTTAAAATTAAATAAATATCAGAAGCAATTTGTTTTTTATCTCTTATTTTTTTTACTTAAAAATATAAATTATTAGTAGTTTAGTTCTATCTGAATAAATAAATTTCAATCTAAAAAAATAAAAATAAAAATAATTATTAAGTTTTTGTCAGCAACACAAGTTAAAAAATTGTAAACTAATTCTTTTGTTGACTATTTTACAGATATGAATTGTTTTTTATTTTTTAAATTAATAATAAAATTGCCTGCTATATCAAATTAAACTAGTATCTTATTTATATTAAATATGTTATATATTTTAAAGACTTTTTAATTTTAAGATTTTTAATAAATTAATAAAAAAAATTTAATAATTTTTTAATTTATATAGATAACTTTTATGAAATTTTATATATCATTAAAGAAATACTTTTTTTTTCAAAAATATATATAATCAATGATTTGACAACTTAAAATTTTTATTAAATTATTATAAAAAATTACATTATCTAA